CCTCCCCATTTGTCCCTGCTGCAGCGCCTGGCGACCTTCTCTCTATGGATTTGCTATGTGGACATTTCCCATAAATGGGTCATACAATGTGTGGCCTGTTGTGTCTGGCTTCTTTCACTTAGCATAACATTTTCAAGGTTCATCCATGTTGTAGCTGTGTCAGGACTGCATTCCTTTTTTTGTGGCCAAATAAGATTCCATTGTGTGGATGTACCACATTTCCTTTCTTTTTTTTGTTAATCCTCACCTGAGGATATTTTTCCATTGATTGGAGAGGGTGGAAAGGATGGGGGGAGAGACAGAGAGAGAAAAACATCTATATGAGAGAGACACCTCAATTGGTTGCCTCCCGTATGCTCCTGACCAGGGTTGGGGATCCAGCCTGCAACTGAGGTATGTGCTCTTGACCGGAATTGAACCCAGGATCCTTCAGTCCAAGGACCAACACTCTATCCACTGAGCCAAGCCGGGTAGGGCCCACATACCCATTTGCCTGTTGATGCCCTTTCATTTTAACTCCGATCACAGCCCCCCAGTGTTTCCTTGAGTTCTCCAGGGAGTGTTTGGAAGTTATTTCTAATTTCTCTACTGGAAACTTTGGTCAGCATTCTCCCCCTGGTAAGCTGGCTACATGGAGCATAATTTCCAGTTGGCCTGAGCAGTGGTTCTGAGATGGGATAGAGGATGTCCTCTCCTCCAGTTCCCCAAATCTGACATACCTGCCTGGGGGCATGGCCTACGAGGGTGGGCCCGTTAGAAGTGAGAGCAGGTCCTATCTCAAGAGTTTGGGGCAAAGTGGCTGAGCTGTGGGTGGGGTGCGCCGCCGACCGGCTCGGGCACAAGGCTGCGATGACGACAGGCTGTGGCACGACTCTTCTGAGAGTGTGTTTGAGGCCCTGGCTTAGGGTATTGCCTTCATTGTCTTTTACTTTCCCCATTTATTTCATGAAGATGTCATTTATATACAGTAAAATCCACCTTTTACTGTACAGTTCTGCACATTCTAACAAATATGCAGTCAGGTAACTACTACCACCGTCAAGAACATTATCATCACCCCCCCCCCAAAAAAAATTCCCCCAGACTCTGTTAGAGTCCCCTACTCCCCCTGCCCCCAGCCCCTGGCAACCACTGATTTATTTCTGTCCCCATGTCTTGTCTTTACAAGAATGTCATATAAGTGGAATCACACGTCACGTAGCCTTTTGATTCGCCCTTCACTTAGCATCATGCATTTGGAGTCACCGTGTTGCCGGGCGCATGGCGTCCATTTTACTGGCACTTCTGCGTAGTATTCCATTGTTGATCTGTTCCCCAGCTGAGGGACATTTGGGCTGTTGCCAGCTTCTGGTGATTATGAATAAAGCCACTATAAACATTCATGAACAGCTTCTTGTGTGAACATAAGTTTTCTTTCCCCTTGGGTAAATACCCAGGAGTGGGAATGCTGGGTCATATGGTAAGTTTATGTTTAATTTTATAAGAAACTTCCACGCTGTTTCCCAAAGAGCTGGAGCACTCTGCAATCCCACCAGTGATGGGCACGCATTCTTTATCTCTTATGTTCTAGACACCCCAAACCCCCCCAAAATTTGATCAGTGCCTCTCTGTGCTTGGCTTTTTTAGTTGCAAGGAACAAAGACACACTCTGTTTACCTGTTTTTGTCTGGGTTCCCGCAGAAGTAGACTGTGAGGTGGTGATCTGAGTGTAAGTGGTTTGTTTGGGAGGTCGTCCCCGGAAACACCAGCAGGGGAGTGGAGAACAGAGGAAACAAAAGGAGGCCAATAAAAGACTTGTCATCAAGCAAGTTACCATTTGGGGCAACTCACCCTCTGTCCCACTGGGAGCTCTGGAAACAGTACAGAGCACGTGCCTGAGTCCTTTCCCACCGGAGGGCCCAGGGGCCGGGTTCTAAACCATTGCCCCTGTCATTGGCTGAGGCTGCTGCCCAGGTCTCGCTTATTTCCTGGCACTTCCGGCTGCTCTGAGTGCAGGGAGAGCTGCTTTGGCAGACAGCGTCCCAGGTGAAGGGCATCTGGAAGGTGCACGCTCCTCAGGTGGTAGATGACTCCTTCCCGCGGCTCTCCATGCTCCTTCTTTCAACATGGCTCTGTCCCCCTGCAGCTTACTCTCTGATTCATAATTCCTGCCAGTGTGTCTCTTATTTCCCACTACCAACCAACTAACTAACTGACTGTTGAGTTCAGACTCCCCAAAGAGAGAAATTGATTGATGAGTGAGTCACTGCCTAGAGACCCTAGAAATTGGGCAAAGCCCTTGATTTAGGACAAAGTGGTTCTCAACCTTCTGGCCCTTTAAATAGTTCTTCATGTTGTGACCCAACCATAAAATTATTTTCATTGCTACTTCATAACTGTAATGTTGCTATTGTGATGAATCGTAATGTAAATATCTGATATGCAGGATGGCCTTAGGCAACCCCTGTGAAAGGGTCTTTCGACCTCCAAAGGGGTCGCGACCCACAGGTTGAGAACCGGTCATCCTATAGACACACTGGCCATTCATTGGCTGCCTTTTGGCCATGTGACCTGACCTGGGCCCATTGGCTGTGGCCAGGAGGAGGGTCAGAGAGTTCAGAGCAGTGCTGTCCTGCAGAACCTTCCGTGATGATGCACATGACCTCCATGGGATGGTATTAGGAGCTGAGCCTTTGGGAGGTAATTAGAATTAGATGAGCTCATGAGAGTGGGGCCCCCTGATGAAATTAGTGTTCTTATAAGAAGAAGAAGAGAGACCAGAGCTTGCTTTGTTTGCCATGTGAGGACACACTAAGAAGGCAGCGTCTATAAGCCAGGAAGTGAACCCTCCCCAGGGAACCTCATTGGCTAGCGCCTTGATCTTGGACTTCCCAGCCCCCAGAACTCTGAGAAATAAACGTCTGCTGTTTAAGCCCCCAGCTGGGACTTTTTATGGCAGCCTGAGCTGACTACCACATTTGGGGTTCTCAGCCCCCATTGAGTGTCTGGGCTCCACTGTGACAGCAGCAAGGGGCCCCCCTTCTAGAAGGGCATGTGCATAGTTCCAGGCATTCTGGATGTGCCAGGAACACCCTGGGCTGTACAGGTCCTGGTCTAGAACCACTGGCCGGTGCCCTCTGAGCTGCAGTCAATGCCAGGAGGTTGCTGAGGCCAAGGCCCTACTTACGTCTGAAGCCTGGGCTCTGCTCTAAGCAGCCCTGGCCCCATGGACTGAGCCACCTTGGTTCCCTCTCTAGGGCCCACAAAGGGAGTTCTCCGAGGACCCACCCCCCAGTTGAGCCTTGGGCCACCTGGAGACAGGGGGCTCCCCTGGCTTCTGCTAGGAGGATGTCGTGAGGCGAAGCAGTCGCACCCATTGTCTGCGGGAAGTTTATCTGAGGCTGCTGTGGGCCTGAGCAGTCTGCGTTCTTAACCTACTTTTAGAAACAATGCTGGTTGTTTACCAAGGAGAGCCCTTCCCAAATGCTCAGCCACCATCCCAGGAGTTTTTCCTTCCCTTTCATAGCTTGTATGTTTTTAAAGGTAGGGAAGTTTAAATAGGAAAGCCGGAGGGTCAGCCAAGGGGACACTCAATCCTTGCAGCCAGCATAAGAGCTGCAGGGACGGCAGCTCTCCATGGAGGCTTAGCTGCTTTTTCTTACGGGGCAGCCGGTCAAGAAACCAGAGGGCTTTTTCTTCTGCTTTCCCACAAGACCTGGATTTGGCCAGTTTGGAGGGTTTGGGGTAGGGGTGGGATTATGGTTTTATTATCTGGCACTGGTTGCTCACTGGTGTAAATGGCCCCTCCTGCCAGCTTACAGTCTGGGGGCTGGATTCATAATTGTTGGGTGAGCTGGCATCGGGCTGCAGGCTTTCCACCTTGGCCAGACAAGGGATACCCACCTGGGGCTGGACAGCCCTCCCCACAGGAGGCTGAGCTGACTGTGCCCTGATTTAGGAGTTGAGGATGGTGGTAAGTGGAGAGGCAAAGTCTTAGACCAGGTCACCTAAGGGTGGCCTTTGAGCCCTCTCTTTGTACTTGTATATAGAAGAGGAATACTGTGCAGGCTGCCTGGTGAGAAAGGAGAAGAGGAGGCTGGAGACTGAAGCCAGGGCCTGGGTGCCTCAGTGAAGTAGGTAGGTCTTTAGCACTAGGGAGCCACAGAAGGTTTTAATGCAGGAGCAACTAGCGGTTTAGAAAGCTAACTCTGTGGCCTTAGATAATCTCATGGACTGCAAGGGGTTGGACCCACACCCTGCAAACTGTGAGACAGTGTTTTTTATCCTTTCTGTGGCACACTGCTCTGATTGCAGCATTTCCCACTTTTCACTCCTCTGTAGTCCGGGTCTAGGGCAGTGTAAGGGCTCCAATCCCTCTCGTTGGTGATTCCTCCGCGTGGCTGTACTTGGATGTGACTCTGACCTACAGGCATCACACATGCTCATGTGTGCTCTTTCCAACTTGCCTCTCTGTTCTGCTCGCCACGTGGTTTTATGCACCAATATGGAATAAGTGAGTTTCATTTAGGCTGGTTTGGTCTAAAAAAGGGAGACACCACCCAGCTGTGTTGCTCAGTGGATTGAGCATAGTTCTGTGAATCAAGAGGTCCCTGATTTAATTCCAAGTCAGGACACAAGCCAGTAGGGGTGCACAGGAGGCAGCCGATGGATGTGTTTCTCCCATTGATGTTTCTATCTCTCTTTTCCTCTCCTTTCCTCTCTGAAATAAAAAACCCCACAAAACTATATATATATACACACACACACACACACACACATATATTATATATATCACATATATATATATATTTAAAGCCCTAGCTGGTTTGCTTAGTGGTTAGAACATCAGCTGGTGAACTGAAGGGTCCCAGGTTCAATTCTGGTTGCAAGCCCTGGCCCTGGTTGGGGCCCATGTGGGAGGCAACCAATTGATGCGTTTCTCTCTCTGTCTCTCCTTCCTTCCACTCTCTCTCTAAAATAAATAAAATAAAACAAAATAATGAAAATCCCATAAGAGTTAATTCAGTAAAGGGGGGTTTATTGCACAGTTACAATAGGCATCTCAAGACAGGCTCCATGAGGATGCAAAATAAGGAACAAAGGTCAGGTTTCTTTTTGCATATTTCAAGGACTGCTTGCTGACTTAGTACCTGACCCAACATGGCAGCCTTGTCCCCCAGGCTGTGTGATCCTGTGGCTCTCATATTCCCATGGCTGAGTGCCCCCAGCTCTCAGGGTCCCTGGACAAAGAGCTCATCTGTCCTCTCCAGTCTTCAGAACCAGCCAGCCAAGGGATGGGAGTCTCTTGGGTCGAGTGTCCATCCCTGCCCAAGCAGGCACGTGCCCAGCCCTTCTCACTGACAGATCAAGATGGGTGGGAGTGGAGGTGAGGGTGAGGGATGGCTTAGGCCCTGCCCTGCTAGGAGAGGCTGCTCGTGGTCTTTCAGCTGCTGGGCAGAACCAGCTCAGATTCGTGCTGCTGCCCCTAGAAGGTGCCATTGTGGTGCAGGGTTGAAAAGCACCTGCCCGGTCTGGGTTCTGGCCAGTAGGTCCAGCATCTACTTGTGGGCCCTGAGTTTCGTTCTCCGTGAAATGAGGAGGTCAGATTAGAACACCTCTGGGAAGGTTCAAAGCTATGGTTTTGATTGGGAGGTTTGCCTTGGCACAGCCCCACACACGGTGACATGGGACCAGGGAGGCTGCTTGAGCGTTGGAAAATGGGCCCCCACCCCCTCTGCCCAGCTGGGTCCAAAGCCCTAGTTGCTGCCTCATGGGAAACTGTCCCCTGAGGATGTGATGTGAATAAAGCCGACTGAATTTCTGCAGACACAGGAAGAGGACAGGATACCCTCATTTGTGCTGATCCCCAAACGAGTGTCTTCTCCAAAGGCTGCCTGGGTTTGGGACCTGCAGGGTGTGTGTACCATTACCAGGTGGCAAAGGACGTGGTAGAGCCAGCTGATGCCAACTCTGCCCCGTTCGGTGCACTGGCCTCACCCACACCACGTGTGCGCTCCGAGGTGGAGAAATTCTATCTGTTGTTTGGCCTCACCAGTTACTTCTGAAGTGGCAGATGGGAGAATTGAATTAGCAAAGTCAACTGTCAAGCTTTGTGTTAATTAGGTAAATGTAATCAAATTATTTAAAAACAAAATCCAATTTAGGGTTTTTGGTGTGTGTGCAAATGAGTGAATTTACTGTTGGGGGAACCTGACTCGGCCCCCCTCTGCCTCCTGTGTGGGCTTCAGCAGATGGTCCTAATGCCTGAGGACCCGCCTCAATTCCTGCAGCCGCATCATGAGCTAGACCCCCTTTGCTGCTTTCACTGCACAAGACGGGGTGTGGTTGTAGTTGGAAGGCCAGGTGGCCTGGACTTGAGTCCTGGCTCTTCTACCAAGTAGAATGTGACCTCTGACAACCTCATTTCTCTGAGCCTCTGTGTTTCCATCTGTAATGTGGGATAATGAGAGAGTTGTTGAGCTTTAAACATTAACACGTGGCACATGATAAATGCCGACTAAGTGTGTGCCTTTGTCAGAGGAGCCCTGTGGCAGTAGTTGTCATTGTCCTCGTCGTCATCATCTCGGGACATGGAGGAATGGACAGGTTGCCCTGTTTCATTAGTCATTGAAGAACCTGTCCTGTCCCTGTCTCTAGGGCTGGACCCAAAGGAGGGGTCCACTAATCGTCTGTAGAGGCCTGGGCTCCAGCCGGCCTCACTCCTGGGGTGATTGGACAGAGGGGGTGCCTTCACCTGGCAGCCCAGTCCCTGTGGGCCTGGGAGGCCACCCTTCAGAGGGGGAGGGTGTTGTGGCTCCTTCTCAGGGCAGAAGTGGGGCCTTGGTCACGGGCGATCATAACTTACCTCATCCCACACTCTTCTGGGCCAAGTGTCTGTTTTGTTCTCTAATGGAAACATAGAAAGGAACCGGCATCCCTTCTAAACAAAGAGGGACTTTTCCCAGGAAGTTTGTAGCCCCGACACCTTCTCCTTGCTTGCTGTGGCATGTGGCTTCTTCTCCGGCAATTGGTGTGACCAGCTGGGGAACAATAGACAATGGCCGTGGCCTGCTTCCTGAGAGAAGGAAGAATGGGCACAGGTGGGTGTCCTGCGGCCCGGTCCGTGAGGGATTTCCTGAGCGTGTCCCACAGGCCCTTACCACGTGCTCAGGGATTCCTCACGGTCACGGCAGCTGGGTGTTTGGCCCAGTGATGAGAGCAGGAAGGGCTCACATTACCAAGGGTCCCTGTGGGCAGACCCTCTTCTGAGACCTCACACATGTTAACTCAGTAATGCCGAGGCAGCCTGGCCGGCGTGGCTCAGTGGTTGGGCGTCGACCTATGAGCCAGGAGGTCACGGTTCAATTCCCGGTCAGGCCACATGCCCAGGTGTGGGCCCGGTCCCTGGTGTGGGGTGTGCAGGAGGCAGCCAGTGAGTGATTCTCTCATCATTGATGTTTCTATCTCTCTCTCCCTCTCCCTTCCTCTCTGAAATCAATTCAAATATATATTTCGTTCTCCGTGAAATGAGGAGGTCAGATTAGAGCACCTCTGGGAAGGTTTTCAAAGCTATGGTTTTGATTGGGAGGTTTGCCTTGGCACAGCCCCACACACGGTGACATGGGACCAGGGAGGCTGCTTGAGCGTTGGAAAATGGGCCCTCCCCACCCCCTCTGCCCAGCTGGGTCCAAAGCCCTAGTTGCTGCCTCATGGGAAACTGTCCCCTGAGGATGTGATGTGAATAAAGCCGACTGAATTTCTGCAGACACAGGAAGAGGACAGGATACCCTCATTTGTGCTGATCCCCAAACGAGTGTCTTCTCCAAAGGCTGCCTGGGTTTGGGACCTGCAGGGTGTGTGTACCATTACCAGGTGGCAAAGGACGTGGTAGAGCCAGCTGATGCCAACTCTGCCCCGTTCGGTGCACTGGCCTCACCCACACCACGTGTGCGCTCCGAGGTGGAGAAATTCTATCTGTTGTTTGGCCTCACCAGTTACTTCTGAAGTGGCAGATGGGAGAATTGAATTAGCAAAGTCAACTGTCAAGCTTTGTGTTAATTAGGTAAATGTAATCAAATTATTTAAAAACAAAATCCAATTTAGGGTTTTTGGTGTGTGTGCAAATGAGTGAATTTACTGTTGGGGGAACCTGACTCGGCCCCCCTCTGCCTCCTGTGTGGGCTTCAGCAGATGGTCCTAATGCCTGAGGACCCGCCTCAATTCCTGCAGCCGCATCATGAGCTAGACCCCCTTTGCTGCTTTCACTGCACAAGACGGGGTGTGGTTGTAGTTGGAAGGCCAGGTGGCCTGGACTTGAGTCCTGGCTCTTCTACCAAGTAGAATGTGACCTCTGACAACCTCATTTCTCTGAGCCTCTGTGTTTCCATCTGTAATGTGGGATAATGAGAGAGTTGTTGAGCTTTAAACATTAACACGTGGCACATGATAAATGCCGACTAAGTGTGTGCCTTTGTCAGAGGAGCCCTGTGGCAGTAGTTGTCATTGTCCTCGTCGTCATCATCTCGGGACATGGAGGAATGGACAGGTTGCCCTGTTTCATTAGTCATTGAAGAACCTGTCCTGTCCCTGTCTCTAGGGCTGGACCCAAAGGAGGGGTCCACTAATCGTCTGTAGAGGCCTGGGCTCCAGCCGGCCTCACTCCTGGGGGGATTGGACAGAGGGGGTGCCTTCACCTGGCAGCCCAGTCCCTGTGGGCCTGGGAGGCCACCCTTCAGAGGGGGAGGGTGTTGTGGCTCCTTCTCAGGGCAGAAGTGGGGCCTTGGTCACGGGCGATCATAACTTACCTCATCCCACACTCTTCTGGGCCAAGTGTCTGTTTTGTTCTCTAATGGAAACATAGAAAGGAACCGGCATCCCTTCTAAACAAAGAGGGACTTTTCCCAGGAAGTTTGTAGCCCCGACACCTTCTCCTTGCTTGCTGTGGCATGTGGCTTCTTCTCCGGCAATTGGTGTGACCAGCTGGGGAACAATAGACAATGGCCGTGGCCTGCTTCCTGAGAGAAGGAAGAATGGGCACAGGTGGGTGTCCTGCGGCCCGGTCCGTGAGGGATTTCCTGAGCGTGTCCCACAGGCCCTTACCACGTGCTCAGGGATTCCTCACGGTCACGGCAGCTGGGTGTTTGGCCCAGTGATGAGAGCAGGAAGGGCTCACATTACCAAGGGTCCCTGTGGGCAGACCCTCTTCTGAGACCTCACACATGTTAACTCAGTAATGCCGAGGCAGCCTGGCCGGCGTGGCTCAGTGGTTGGGCGTCGACCTATGAGCCAGGAGGTCACGGTTCAATTCCCGGTCAGGCCACATGCCCAGGTGTGGGCCCGGTCCCTGGTGTGGGGTGTGCAGGAGGCAGCCAGTGAGTGATTCTCTCATCATTGATGTTTCTATCTCTCTCTCCCTCTCCCTTCCTCTCTGAAATCAATTCAAATATATATTTTTTAAAAATTCGGAGGTGGTGCAGGACTGACAGTCGCTGAATTCAGCTCTCCACGCCTCATCCTCAGAACCATCTCAGAAGAGGCTCATCGGCCCCAGGCCTGGACCACTGTACAATTGGGAAACGGAGGCCCTGAGAGATGCAGGGATAGGCTAAGGCCACTCAAGGGCAGAGCCAGATGTTGACCTTTGGGGAGGGGGGCTTGTTGCCCCTGCCTGCCCTGCGAGCTGCACCTCATGCCAATGTCCCTGCCATGTCTACTGCTGCCACCTGGCCTCCTTGTAGGTCCCTGAATGTGTCTTCCTGCACACTGTCGCCACTGTCTGCACCCCCCTGCCTTCTCCCTGCCTTTCACCCGTTCCATAAACCTCAGCTTCTCAGGGGGCTCTCATGTGCTGTCTCAAGTAGCTGGGCTCCTTTGCCGACTACTGCCAATGCCTTCATCCTAACCACAGCCCCCTGTTCGTTTCTTTCTTCCCGGGTCCTCACCAGAATTTGTAATTGTACATTTGCTGCTTTACTGGTGTGCTGTCCACCTCCCCAACTGGACCAAAGCTGCTTGCTGAGGGCCCGCTCCATGCTGCCCACTGCCAACTCCATAGCACCAGCCTGGCTTGCAGACCTTCACATGCTGGGGGGATGTGTGATTAGTTTGAGAGGGGGGGTCTCTAGATTTTCAGAGGTTTCTTCTGAGGTGTGATGTCGAGAGCTAAGTATGGTTTTTGTAAGTCAAACAACAGGCTTTTTCCTTCCAGCAGCTCAAAACTGCAGTGTGCCTGGCACGCAGTTCAAATAAAAAAAACACACCATTTAGTTCTTAAGAAGGCTCTGGCAATTGCATCTGCGTTTAGGCTAATGGGCCCGGTCGGCCTCGGGAGCAATGCAAAGGTGGAGTTTGAACTCTACCCTACCTCAGAGAGCAAGGCTGCACAGCGATAGGACAAAATGCATTTAAATGTCACGCGTGTTATTATTAGTCATAATCTTATCTTTGTGAATAATAATAACAGGACCCACCCAGAAGTTGCTGAATAGCAGACGGGCGCTTTCCGAAGTTCTTGTTGTCAGACAGGACTGGGAAGCCCGAGGAGGCGCCCACTGGCTCTGTGACCACCACTGCGAGGGGCCAGAGTGTTGGCCGGAAGCCCCACCCTGGTCACACGTGTTCAGTCACATCCTCCACGCCCTTTGGGGCGCTGGGCCTTGAGAGGCGCCAGACCTGTGGCCTCTCAGACTGCCCGCTGGAGCAGAGGCCTGCGGGTTGGGAACCGAAGGGCAGTCTGTCTGTCTGCACAGAGATCTCTGCGTGGCCTTTCCCTTCTATTGTTTCCTGCCCCAGTGACTTGCTGAAACAATGTGTTTCCTACAGATTTTGTTTGCCTGCGTTGACTTCTTTGTTTTGCCCCAGTAAACAGACAGTTAAGCGTATACAGATCTATGCGTTTGACAAAGAGAAATCCGAGGCCCGGACCCTGGCCTTCCCCGAGTCACCGGCTCCCTGAGCCTGCAGACCTTGGATGGTCCAGCCCCTGTAAATGACACATCCCATCCCATCTGTGCCGCCCGCACGTGCAGAGGTTCAGTTGTTGGAGGGGATGCTGGGCCTCCTACTAGTCTAGGGAGACCCACGTTTGAGAACCAGGTTAGTCGAGATTGAACCCCTGTGCCGAATCTTTTCTAGCTGTGTGACTTTGGGGAAGTTGCTTACCTGGTAAGAGTGTGTTTCCTCATCGGTAAATACAGTACCTGCCTCATAGGCCTGTTGGGGCTTAAAGGAGTTGATATTTGGAAATCATCGGTGCCGAGCCTGGTGCTGGCTGCTCTTGTTACTTGTCTGTTGGTCTCTGTTTTGTGGAATCTCCTCAGCGATCCTACTGGGCAAGGCTTTCCTACAGACTCGCTTGACCCGGAAGTGGAATCGAGGAGCTCATTGCTGTAGGCTGATATGATCCTCCCGGGTGTGGTCTGTTCACCAGACATGGTTCAGAACGTCCTGAACTCCTGCCTGTATGGATGCACGGCCCAATGGGACAATGGCTAAGAACTCGGACACGGAAAGGGACAGACCTGGGCCTTCAACCGGGCTCCTGCTCTCACCAGCTGTGTGAGCTCACTCAGCGATCCTACTGGGCAAGGCTTTCCTACAGACTCACTTGACCCGGAAGTGGAATCGAGGCGCTCATTGCTGTAGGCTGATGTGATCCTCCCGGGTGTGGTCTGTTCACCAGACATGCTCTCACCAGCTGTGTGAGCTCGGACACGCTGCTTATCTCCTCTGAGCGTTTCTCTTCCCTGATTCATGGGGGTGGGGGCATGAGCATTAACTGCGCTTGTGTGTGTCAGGTCGTAGGTGGGCCTGGCCCAGAGCCAGCACATGGGGGGCTGCCCTGACTGATGAGCTTCACCTGAAAAAGGGGGTGGGGAGCAGAGGAGATGATCACAGGTTTTCCACTTCTCAAGACCTGACCCTGTCAGAGGTTCAGGATTGTCCTTGTCATTTGTGGTCCAGCTCATAAAACTGGAGGCAAGACCTTTCCGGAGGGACCTGAGCTGCCCTGGAGAGAGTGGCTTCCTGCTGCAGGAGGCTTTAAGCAGAGCTGGATAGCCCTAGGGAGGGACAGGCAGTCCGTCTCCATAGCCTTCAGTATCCTTT